TTAGCTATTAAAACATCAGCTGGTTTCATTTGTAAGTCCTGTGTAGCATCTTTGTCAATATTATTCTTGAATTCTATTATTTTTAAATCCATACCCAAAACAGCCTGATTCTCACTTGTATCCTCTTCTAGCAACTCTTTAAAACCCATTTTTATAGTACTAGACAACCTTAAGAGAAAACTGAGTACATTGTTGCCAAATATCCTTGAACTCTTCCAAAGTTAAAATACTTTTCTCCATTCTGTATTAGTGGGTCTTCTCCTTTAATTGTAATCTTTCGTTCTTTCTGATTGCCTTTAGTAACCAGCCTTCAGGGTCTCTTTTTATCATGTTTTTCTCTAATCCACACCATTTTCCCATGGAAAGGTTTCTTGCACTTAACTTCAACATCTTTATATACTTTTAATATGATTTTAAGCAAACCACAGGAAGGATTCTTATAGTTAATTTCAAAATCTTATTTCCAGTCAATCTAGCCCTTTAGTCCATTTATAACTTTCCAAAACCAATGTTCTAATCATCCTTTTGCTGCTTATTTCCAGTTTTAAAAAATCTTTAAGTTTTTAAACTTACATGAAACTTCTTTCGTTGAGGACTGAAGGAAAATCACCCAGTGAAATAAAAGTTGTCTTTTTGAAGGTTCTTAGTATCCATTTACAAAAGTGAATCCACAAACCATTTACAAAAATGATTAAGAAAGGAAATGGGTGAACCCAGTGTCTCTTTGAAGGCTTCAAACCGTGACTTGGGAAAGCTGACTCTCCCAGCTCCTAGAGCTCTAAAAGCTGCCAGAGTTTTATGGTCTTGTCGCGGGGAGCTTCTGTAAGGAGCCCTATGGGTGAACCCAAGTCCTCCCCTTTGTCCGGGGAGGAATTTCATGGTGCCAATCCATTTGTTGGCTCCTTGTTCTGCTGCGGTCATCGGCTCTGCTAAAAGTGAAGCTGTCTTCAGTTTGCCATTGCTTCCCCAGAAGTGACCCAGATCTGTTTTTATACATACTATATGTAACCGTGAAAAAAGATTCTGCTATAAGGAATACAATGTGCAGTGCTCTCCTGTGCATAATATTGCAATCCTACACCCCCTTGGGAATAAGCCTCATTAAACATAGTTGGGACTTTGCTTTTGTACAACCTCCAGAAGTAAAACTTCGTTAATCAGTTTAAGTAGTGGCTTGGTCCTCATAAGCCTCTTTTTTTGGATTACTGTCCCTGTGACTCTGTTCACATAACATATTAAACCATGAAATAATGCAGAAAAAGTTAAGCATTTATAACCAAGATAAAACATTGTTAGCATTTCCTCTAAACATACAGTATGTCCAAACAAAACTGTCAGTTATGGGCACAAATGACCCACAGAATTAACAAGATTACCCTTTTGACGTGGTGGATGCATGGTCTTACCTGGAGCCATTAGAACCAGATTGTTCCTACAGTATATTCAGTGGCGGAAGAAAGCTTGGGAGATCAGCACTTCTCAAAGCTGTTGACTCCCTTGTTTCTGCACTTTCCAACACTTTTCCCAAAGGCATTTTAAACAGAGTTGTAAATAGTGTAAACATTTTACAGTGTGCAGCAATGCTACCGTAGCTATTTTCTAAGCCAAAAGTCCCCTTCTGTGATTTATTTTCTTTTGGGAACAACAAGGAAGCATTTCTTAAAGCCAAAGCTTTTAACATGCAGAATGCATTTGGGGAGTTGTAATAGGCTATCTGCCCACAAAAGGTGAGAGGCTGAGTCTATGGGAATTGCAGGGTTAAGTTCCAGAGTCTATGATTGTCCTCTTCCAGTGAGCACTTCCTCTTCGCATAACACTAATCTTCACAATGTTCTCGCTGGGTCATAGCAGATCTTGCTAGGTCATCTCAGTTCTTTAACGAGGTGGGCGGTGACAAATCTGATATAGAAGTAAATAAATAAATAAGATCAAGTGTAGTTTCCTTGTTGCACCTCTCCTCCTCCTCCTGCTCTTCCTCCTGCTCCTCCTCCTCCAAGGCGGAACAAGAATATACCCAAAAGGTACAGGAAATGAAAATTCTGATCAAAAAGCAAATTCAATTGACTCAGACACCAATAAGGTACTGAAAGACATAGAATCTGATACTAACACTGGAGACAGAGATTAGCTAATAAAGTTTAGAAATTTAGAACATAATTTGAGGGGAAGATGGACTGGCCCATTCCGTCATTGATTACAGTATGTATCTTCTCACCTTGTTACTTTAAAAATAAGAAATGGTATTTCAGAAACCAAAGGAAGTTATGGCATGATGATCTCACAATGTTTTTTTTTAATTATTTTCTCAACATTTTATGTTATTTATTGTCAAGCATTGTTAATAAATAGAAGGGTTATGTTATGTTTTGTGGGCTAATGGAAATAGTTATGGAAGTTTGGGAAAAGGATATTTGGATAAAAACACTTAATTTAACAGCTCATCTTAGAAAAGAATCTGATAGTTGGATGTGTTATCAAATATCTACATATTCCAAACAAGAAATGCCCTTCTGATAGTCCCACACCATTTAATTCCTAGATGTTGTTCATGGTACTACTGTTTTATGGACTAATTGAAAGGCACGCTAGGCACCACTATGCCAGTCTCATGGGTAATCTGGCTTTGTGTGTCCATTAAAATCTAACTTAACATCATGAGCAGCCTGTGGGCAGCACTGATATCCAGAGGCATGATTAAAAGGAGGAGTTTGGGTTCCCAATGAGTAATCAGGTTGTTCAAATATATTAAACCATTCAAATAATGGTGCTATAGATTTATGGGGACCAAGTATGTCAGCTCCTAGCTTTATGATTACAGTATAGCAAGGCTTTGCTTAAGCACAAATGCACACACCTTTCACTTTCATATACCTACAAAACCCCATCAGAGTATGTGATCAAGAAGGTGGATTGCAATCCAGATGGTTGTATGTTGAGGTAGTCCTATGAGGTAGTCCAGACAAAAAGCACAACGAGGAGTACTAGCTCTATCTTTGTTGTAAGGTTACATTAACGGAATTTTACAAGTCTGAGAGTACCCCTCCCTTCCTTCACTTGTACTCTCCTGAAAACTAGGAAGGGTCCCTCCTGAGATGCTTTTGCACCCCTCTTCCTTCAGACTCAAATTTCATTTATCAAACCATTGTCTGGGCTGGGGCTCTTCCTCCTGTCTCCCAAGGTCACCCCACATACGATTACACTTGTACACAAGGTGTCTTCCTATCAGGTCCCTGTCTAGCCCTCCTTTTGAAAAAAGTCCTTTTTTTTTTTTTAGATTTTTTATCCCACCTTTATTATTTTTATAAATAACTCAAGGCTGCGAACATACCTAATACTCCTACCTCCTCCTACTTTCCCCACAACCACCACCCTGTGAGGTGAGTTGGGCTGAGAGAGAGTGGCTGGCCCAAAGCCACCCATCCAGCTTTCATGCCTTAGGCAGGACTAGAACTCACCGTCTCCTGGTTTCTAGCCTGGTGTCTTAACCACTAGATCAAACTGGCTCT